AGGTCTGCAGAAATTGTTTCCAATGAGAGTGCAGTGGGCGGGACCGATATAACTTTTTAAAGAACACCGAAAGCCAGTGCTTCTAAGAACACCAATAGCTGAGACTAATAAATAGTACACAAAAACTCAAGTTATAATATGTCAAAAGAACTCTGCAAGATTTCACTACAAACTTGAAGAATTTGGCATGACTATTTTAAAGCTAACCAAATGTATTTGGTAAATAGATAACAGTGCAAAGGGACAAGAATGTTTTTCCACTTCTTCCAACACCTGAGCATTGTGGGAATCTGCTAGCCATGTTCTCTTCACTGGTGAGGCTAACGCTGGGCAGTAGCATCTCTAAATTTAACCCATCTGAAGCTCATAGTTCCTTTTGTGTGTTTTTCTGAGTCATCCGGTTGAGTGAGTCTTCAGGATGTGACCAAATTATCTTAGGACAACACTGAGCAATACAGGAATTTTCTGCAATGTAGACATGGTGCCAATTAGATAATGTCTGAGCAGCATCCCAGCTTCTCAGAGCAACCATTCAGTTGTAGAACCACAGAAACACAATCATTCTGTTGCCAGCCAGGCTTAAATATAGGTGACTCAAATGAGTGAGTGGGTGACCAGTTGGGCAACCAGTCTGACAGGAGTGAACCATACCATCTGGCTAGGGCAGGAGAATGAAGTTGGGGAGAGCAGGTCCCACTCAGTGCACATCCTCACACAGACCCAGGACCAGATGCTTAAAACAGACAGACGTCCATAGGTCTGATCCACATGACCTTGAGCAGTGGTGGTGTGGGTCCTCCAGTTCCAGTTCAATCTTGCCATCTGAGGATAGGTTTATTTTGAGCCACACACACTAAGGAACAGGGCTGGTCTTCCTGACCATTTTCCAGCAAAATTCTACGTCAGCATCAATTCAGTGACCACAGGTCAGAAGAGAATATCACTTTCCTGCAAGAGCCAGACCATGCTATCCCCATTGCCAGGCCACATTCAACCTTGGACAACTGCCAAGTGGGGGCTGGGGAGAAGAAGGGGTGCAGATTCCAAATGAAGAAATCTCAGCAAGGTATAGAGCCAGAACTTGGCATTGCTTAAATGCGATGTTTTCTCCAATACATATAGATCATTTTTAGCAGTTATCAAATTTATTTAATAATAGATGGGTGGTATAAAAATTAGCATACACTGAGTCACATATATCTTAGATTTATAAGCCAAATTCCAAAAAAATTTTAAATGGAAACAAGTAAAAGATAATTATAGGTTCACAAGATTCAGCTAATATCTATCAATATACAATTACATTGGAAAGACTTTGTTATAAATCACAATAAGTTATGAACTATACTAAGGAAGTCTAGGGCCGGGGATTTAGGTCAGCAGTTTGGCGGCCTGCCTCCCAAGCGCAAGGACCTGAGTTTGATCCCCGGTACCAAAAAAAAACTAAAGAAGTCTATATTGTGAAATAAATACAGATTCTGCCAAAAAATGTATACACACTTCAAGAAAAGAAAACTTTTATAGTTGTTTTAATATTAAATTTATTCAGATATCATGAGATGAGTACAAATTACCTTTGGCCTTTACAATTACAAGAGGTGCTCAAAGTGGTGGCCATTAACTTTCAGACAATTACTAGTATGGTGAACTGCTGCTTGGATAACCTCGGTCCTTGAGTTTCTTGCAGGTGCATTTTCAATTTCTTCTCTAAGGGCCAGCAGTGTACTGGGTTTTCTGAGATTTATGGCATGCACTAGCCCCCGCCCCATGTGAAAGTAACACCATCTATGGAAAAGACATCATACTAGTTTTCTTTTCCTGAAATGTGTATACTTTTTTTGGCAGAATGTTTTTTGAATGACTGTGTCTGTGTGTGCGTGCGTGTGTGCGCGCGTGTGTGTGTGTGTGTAAATGTGTATACTTTTTTTGGCAGAATGTTTTTTGAATGACTGTGTCTGTGTGTGCGTGCGCGTGTGTGCGCGTGTGTGTGTGTGTGTTCTGTATAAGAAGATGCCCATACTTTTATTTCATTCTCTTGCTTAATATCTGTCCATCTCATTTTTGTTTTCTGCTTCCCATCCTCTCATTTTCAGAACTATGTTCACTGTTTTAGTATTAGCGAAGAGTAAAGCAATGTTCTAATTTTAAACTTACAAGATCAAATAAGTACCAACATGAGAAAGAAATGCAATAAAGAAGAAAACTATAAAATAGATCTTGAAGATAATAAAATCTTTAGGAAGCTATTCTCTTATTCATCAATGTTTTCATATATAACTACTTAAAAATTTATTATTGTAACTATGGGACTTTGAGACAAAGGGCTTAGATTTAAATATCTCTCCTACTTCTACTATTACCAGCTGCATGTGCACAAAATTTGCTTTTTCTACTGCTTATCTCAAAGGGGTTGTTATGAAATTCAAATGAGACTCTCATACGAAAGTAGTTTACAAGCTTTTAATGCTATATCAATATAAGGTTTTACTGAGAAACTATTGTTTGTTTCTAGAATGAAATGGATTGCTTCTCGGCCTTTTGGCTAAGATGGAGTGTAGAATGAAATGGAATATTGGGCAGATAGATGTTGGAGTCCAGTCAACGGGTACTTTCACCTAGCTTTTGAGCTTATATTTCTTTTCTTTATTATTTATTTATTTTATTTTATTTTATGTACTTATTTTGGTACCGGGGATCGAACTCGGGTCCTTGGGCTTGAGAGGCAGGCAGTGGAACCACTGAGCTAAATCCCCGGCATTGACCTTATATTTCTAAAATGACTTTGTTACTCAGTGCCCAGGCAGAACAGAAATCTATGACTTTAAGATTTATTCATGAAGAACACATTCTAGATGAATAAGACAGCCAGCCTAAGGGGTGCTCAGCTGGTTTACCTCTGTTTTCATCTTTTTACTGACAGCTTCCTTCTCTATGATTGATCTCTCACGGTGCCTGCTTTCACTGAAATACAGACATGTGCCATTCTCTGCTTCCCCTGCCACATCAGAGCAAAGCCAAGGGCTTGAAAAATAAGTAGGGAAATCAAATATGGAGAACTGAAGAATTGTTCCACCTGTTTCCTTTATGAAAACATCACTCCAGGATTCTTGGGTACTGTTCTGTATGTCTCCCTGATACCTTGAGCCCGAAGGTCTAGGACACCCGTGTTGGTCTAGTCTTCTTAGTTTCTGGCCTTTCCCCATTCCGGTAGCGTTCCCTCACCGCTAGGAAATTTCAGAAAGATTCAACACTGTCAGATCCATCCAATAGGAAGAATTTCTCCTAATCTGTGTTCACCTCCGTTCTCTCTCTCCTTGGGAAAAGTCTGGAGGGGAAATGGCTATCGCAAGCGACCCTACTCATTACATGCAGGGCAATAGTTTGATTCCTGCCGAACCATCAGCACCCTCGCATCTTAATTCTGTGTAACACTTACCAAACGTACACAGAACTGTGTTTAGCTCACTTATACTTAACAACACTAGTGTGCAAGTGAAAAACATTTTTTTCAGTGGATACCAGTGGCAGCCAAGCTCCTTCACCCAGGCGCCATGCAGCCTTCTCCCACCACACCACACCACACCACACCACACCACGGATGGTTCTTGGTGCTAGAATCCCGTATTGCTTGTCTCTGGGGGAAGAAAGCTGGAGCTCTCTTTTGGGACCCTAAAATAAATATTAAAGGGACAAGTGGGTCTATCTTCGTTTGGTCAGAATGATTTTCCACAATGAATAATACTTCCCAAGGAGAGAAAAATAAATGAAACGCTTGTTATTCGAAGGAATGAATGAAAGAATGTTCTGTTTGGTCAAGTTGTGTCCTTGTCTCCTTGTAGACATTTCAACCACAGACTGTGAAAACTAAGCCAAGGCTGTGTGGAAGAACAGAGGTTACACAGAATTATTCCTCTCAAATAACTCTGTTTTGACTCTGCAGAGAAAAAAGTCAGGAAGAAAATTTTAACTTTAGAACTACTCTTGGGCTGGGGATTTAGCTCAGTGGTGCTGCCACGTGCCTCACACGCCCAAGGTCCCGAGTTCAATCCCCGGCACCAAAAAGCAAAAATAAAAATAAATAAATAAATAAAACTACTCTCGGATGCTTAGAATGGAAAAAAAAATTATACATGATTTGGGCCCTTTCTAGTTAATCAAGTATTGTCATTCACACAATGTGTGACAGAAAGAAGGAAGTCATTGTGGACAGAGATCTTTGCACTGTAATTTCTTCCTTCAGATGAAACAGTGGCTTGCTAGGCAACTTGAAGAGGATTAAGAATTCTGTGTTGTTACTAGCAAGCATTTCTCACACGTGCACATGAGAGAAAAGTGATAGATAAAGGGCAAAAAGAAGCTGGCTAACAGGTCCTGATGCGGAATTAGGTTCCTTAGGATTACTTATCCAGGAAGTAAAGCAAATACTCCAGCTTTGCATGTCATCAAACTGCAGCTTATTTCTGCCTACTATGGGTCTTCTGGTGGTCTCAGAAAATTCTGGTCTAAGAACTAACAATCTTCTGTTCTTTATCACAGCTGAAAGTTACTGGCCAAAACTGCAAATTTAAAAACCTAAAAATTCATACCATGAGTTTTATTAATGGAATATCAGACACAAGTATCATAAAATCTACCTTTATGTTAGTTAGACCCCTCGCTCCTCTCACCTGAAAATATTTACACATGCTCAAATTCCATTGAAATTTGATGGTAAAATTGTACCCTGGGAGAAAAAGCAATTGACAGGCAAGGAAGAAAAAATTTAGAAATAAGCAGAAGACGAGCCAAGTTGCTTTCCTCAGGGACTGGCTGACGCATGCCCTCCTGTGGTTACAGGAAATACTACCACTTGTCAGAGGCAATCCCTCAATTGATTTCCTCCAAGTTAGAAAACAAAAATAAATCCAAAAACCTTGTACGGCATTATCAAAAGGAAAGCCAGCAAATCTCTTTTTAAGAGACAAACCTATCTTAATATTATGTTGGGGTTTTTTTTGTAGATAATTTACAGGGGCCACCATGAAAACCATGGGTATTCTATGTTTAAGTATGTTTACCTATCTCCTGGGAAGATAGGCCAAACTCACTTAAAGGTGAACTGGATCTTTGAATGAAGGCCCTTTCTCATGAATCACACCCTGAACTAACCCTGCAGAAGTTGTAGGAGAGACAGAGAGTTGCAGTTTAGCTTTGCTGCTCCAAGGTTTCCATCTGTGACTGGGCCGTTCCCATCCTCCACACCCCAGGCTCTCAAACCTCTGCACTGTGCAGCTCTGTGATCCAGAGTCTTCTGGACCCTGCCCATGGCCTGGACAAGTCCTGCTCTGCTTCAGAACCTGTAGCTGCAGGTATGGTCTTGTGGATCCCACATGTTACTAGCTGTCCTGTTACTGAGTCTGAGTAACACTGAGTCCTTTCCCTATGCTGTAATTATGGGGATTTCACCAGGGGAAGGTTCATAGGAGAAATGACTTTGGACCAAAGGATGAATGCTTTAGCATCTCTTAAATTCATTCTGTGTGTGTCTCCATCCGTGCAGGGTGCTCAAAGAAAAGAATGAGGCCCTTGTCTAGGGGTGACAATAACCCTTTTACTCAGTCTCCTCCTGCAGAATCACAGCCAACAGGCTGGAAACAGCTTAAAATGCCATCAGCAAAAGGACTATTTACTTTTCCAACTCTGGCTTCATTTCCTCTGGAAGTAGCAGTTTCCTTCCACACTGTTATTTTCTTCTGTTCAATATCCTTTACACGGCACTGCTAAAGCAGCCTCTAATTTCCCATTAAAATTAGCTAGAACTTATGATTGTGATACATATATCCTGGACTCTTCCTATTGTGCAACATGTTCTGTGGAAATAAATGATTGAAAAACATATTCGCTTTATCCAAGATCTTGGAAAAGAAGCAAAAGGCTTTTTTTTGGTGGAGGGGGGTAGTCCTTGGGATCGAACTCAGGTCCTTGCACTTGCCAGGCAGATGGAGTAACCACTGAGCTAAGTCCCTGGCCCACAAAAGGCACTTTTAAAAATCATTGGAATCCAAAACCAAATTTGGAAAATACCATCTGAATGGCAGAATCAAAAGATCATACTTTAGGGGCTTGAAGTAAAAAGAAACCTCTTCCTGCCTGGGTTCAGGGAATGTTGCATAATGGAAATAATTGAGCTGGGCCTTGGAGAGTGATTAAGATTTGAGGAAACAGAAGTGAGTGGGAGAGACCCTTTCTCTGAGGAAATCATACTAAGAACCAAGGCCCAGAAATAGAAAAGCAAACTACAGCAAAGCAGAGCAGCCCCCTGAGCTGGAGACCTCATGCAGCCAGCAAGGCCATTCGAAATCACTAACATCAGCAAAGGCAGGAAAGAAAAGCTTTTCAATGTTTTAATATTTTCCCTGGTGCATAGTTGAAGAGATTAGCTATCCCGCTGCATAGTCTAAAATCGTTTTATGTTTTTCTTTATGAAAGAATTCTATTCAGTCTTCTAATGAGATTCTTCAGTGCACATGCTGCTCTTTTAAAACTAGTAGAAGCATCAAAAATAAAACAAAACTTCCTACTTCGGGATAGGGAGAAAAAATGAAGAAGGGATTACCAGAATTTACTGAATTTCTCACCAACTGCTTTATTCAAAAGGTTACATTAGTAATGAGCCAGTTAACTCGATTGCAATGGAAATATAAAGGTCCAAGTGAAACTTTCCAGGCCTCGAAGACCAATGCCCCCAACCAAACTAAGTCAAACATTTAAAATAAATGCTTTATATTCAGAAGTAACACTGCAAAGCTTGTTTCTTGTTCTCTCATAGCCAAATCTTAAACTCTTTTCTGAGTATGCCTGGCAATGTAAAAAATGAGTGAATAATTGTGTTATAACTGCCACAGATAAATCATTTTCAATTTTATTTTGCAGTCAAGAAAAGTTGCATTTCTCTGACAGCCTATTAACAAGCTTTATAAGAATAGAGCGCAATTCCAGGAACCATTTCTATCTTCAGTTTCAGGTGTGAGCTGATTCAACAGTTTTCCCCCAGATTTTCCTGGCAGTTAATAAGAGACATATATGAAAACAGGTAGTTCTCCCAATAGAGCAGTATTTCTATGTAGGGCAGGGGAACGGGGAAGGCAGGGAAAGGGAGAGAGCAAGGAAGAGAAAGAGAAAGTGAAATCCATTTTAGATAACATGTTGTCGGGGCTCATAAGCCTACAGAACCCACAGCCAGAAGGCAACATTCAGGCAGTCCAGGGGCACAGGAGTCAAGAATGGGTCCACTTCCAGGTCCCCTTGTGGCCACATTAGAGAAATCTCGTCATCTGTGCACCCTAATTTCAAGTGACTGTCCCTGACATTGTGCAGGAAAACAAGCTGCCTTTCCATAAAGGGCTCGGCACTGTTCCGTATGAAATTATATTTGTGATCACTTACGTAGAGTATATTTTATGGTGGACATGTTCTAGGTGCTTTACATGCATTAGATCGTGTAATAAAATCATTTAAGTCTTCCAACAATCCATAAAAGTTAAGTATCACTCTTCTTAATCTATGGCTAGCCAGCCCAGGCTCAGAGAAGAAACACAACGGCAGAGGTGGGCAGCTGATTCTAACACCTGTTCTCCTCACAATACAACTTCCGGTGAGCACTGGACTGAGGGGTTAAGAAAACCATTTGGCAACTCCTGTGTGCTAGCTCACTCGATGTCAATGCTACTCCCTGTGACCCTGGCTTCCCCGAATTTAGTCCTTCCATCTTCTTTGCTATCTTCCCTACATGCTTGCCCCACTACACACACTACACACAAGACAACAAAGGACAATGGTGTGTCCTTGTGTGTGTGTGTGTGTGTGTGTGTGTGTGAACATTTCATTGTCCTCTACCTTCTCCTTTCCATCCATTTTCCTCCCTGGGAATTTTCTTCCTTAGGCTATTGTTACTAAAATTTCTGATAGAGGACAGAGGTTTTCAGAATGCACCCCAGACCAGCGATGGCCACATCATCTGAGCACTTGTCCAGATGCACATTCTAGACTCCACCCCAGGCCTGCTGAGTCAAATACTGGCCATTGGGCCCAACTTTGCTTCAGTAAGTCTTCCAAGCAATTCTAAGTGCTACATTGAGAACTACTAACCTAGGTCATCAGATTTGTCTTGTTATACAGCAAAGAGGGAAGAAAAGAAAATTTGTAAATCCGTTTCTAGATAATAACCAGAAATGTCACATCTCGGTGCAAAATGCTTTGTCTGAAAGTCAGAAATCAATTATTGCCTACATTCTCCTGTTTTTTGATTTTCTGCCAAAACAAAGAGAGAAAAATAAATGAAAGGAACAATATCTTCTTCTAGGCAGAGGAATAACACCATACCTCTGATGGTCAGGGCCAAAGTTGGGATAAGTAGGGAGAGAGAGAATGAGAGTATGAAATTCATTTCACTTGCAGTGACTCACTGTTCATCTGAGGGTCACATTCTTTAATCATGTTGTCCTGAAATTCTGGTTTTCTTTCAAAATCTGGCCCTGACCTGTATTTCCAAATTAATTTTTCGCTCTCTTCTCTAGGATCTCTCCAGCCCTGCCTTATAGGTCTGTTTGTATTCTCTTTCAGCGATTCTGTCTCCAAACACTGGGCTCTGCTACTTCACTTAAAAGCGTCTCACCACTTTCCTTTAGCACATGTGAACTCTACCCGTTTTGGAGGCCTTGTTCACTCTTCTTTCTCTGTGAAATCTGCTGAGGCCATTACAGAATGATCTCTACTATAATCTCTCTTGACTTACTAGCCTCTTTTCCTTGACTATATGATGATTGTCTTTTTTAAATATTGCCTAAGAGTTAGCAAATTTTGAAAACATAACATAATCACTTTATATTGAAAATTATACTTTAGCAGGAAGAAAAAAGCAAAGACAATATCACCCTTCACCGTTTTGACAAGAGAAGAAACCAAGAGCTGCCATCTTATGAAAATATTGTCTTGGAAAGTGAGAAAGTTTTGTTCCTTCTTGAAGCCAATGTGAATAACCAAAGTAATAAATCCACATATCTCTCTGAAAATAGACAAACTCTAAAGGAAGAGCACAGAGTCATTCACAATGGGAAGGCCCACAAGGATGGAATGGAGCTCACATATCCCCAATCCACTGGCTCCAGAGGGGCCAAGGATGGAGACAATGGTACCAGGAGCCTAGACAACCAGGAGGAATATAGTGCAGCCCTCATCAGAAACAAGGCGCACCATGTAATGACAGTGACAGAAGAGGGGAAGGAAGAAAACCAAGAGACAAATCCTAGAAATAGTCAAAGAAAAATTCCAGTAGATGTCAACCATGCTAAAGCCCACTCCAAAGGTAAGAAAAGTCATCAACCAGGTGTACGAGCCCAGAGTAGCCCAGTAACAAACAAGACCACCCAGCATAACCGACGCAGCACTCACTACCTACCACAGCTCTCCAAAGTACGCAGAGTCCCCAGTGATTTTGAAGGCAGTGGTTACACAGATCTCCAAGGGAGAGGGGATAATGACATTTCTCCTTTCAGTGGAGATGGCCAACCTTTTAAGGACATCTCTGGCAGAGAAGAAGCTGTTGGACCCAACCTAGAAAGCGTAGATAGACAAACAGGGCTCTCAGGTCTGGGTGAGGCTGAGACTGTGAACACTGACATAAGGGGCCTGGGTCCTAATGAGATCCCGGAGGGAAAGGAACATGGTGGTGATGCCCATGCTTCCAGGGCTGGGACCTCAAAGGGGGCAGGAGAGGCAGCCGTGAGCCTGGTAGAGGGCAGCAGTGACATCACTGGCAGTACCAACTTCAGAGACCTCCCCGGGAAAGAAGGAAACAGAGTAGACGCTGGCAGCCAGAATGCTCACCGAGGGAAAATAGAGCTTCATTACCCACGTGCACCCTCCAAAGAGCAAATCAAAGGAGACAGTGGTATTACCACTCACAATGAAATTCCTAAGCACGGCAGAGGTGGTACTAGAAAAGCTACAGAGCTGTCTGGTAGGAACCAAGGGGCCTCAAGTGAAAAGCACCAATCTTCTAGTAAGGGCGAAAGTCAGGGCTTCATTATTCCTTCTCATGGTCTTGATAATGAAATTAAAAATGAAATCGGTTCCCATCGTGGCCCCCACAATGAGGGGAACGTGATAACGCACAGCGGGAAGAATTCCTATGCACCCCGGGGACAAAATGACTGGGTAAGGAGTGAGGGTGGGTCACAAAGGAGAGGCCCGTGGGGCTACAGAAGACACCCTTCTAGTAGGGGATTTAGTTCCCGGAAGAGGGGCAGTAGCAGTGAGTCATCTGGCAGCAGCAGCTCAAGTGAGAGTGGCGGCCACTAGTCCTGGGGGCCTCCCCATCGCCTTCCAGTGGGCAGCAGAGGACAGAGTCCGCCGTCTGACTGGGAGGGAGACGGGCTTGCGCAAGCCTGGAGGCCTGGCCCCTGGTGTGCGCGGGGTTGCTATTTTAATGATCACAGTACAATTCCAGCTAAGGTCATAATGCTTTTTCAAAAAACACTCCTTAAGGATTTGTATAATGGGCAGCATTCGAGTGGGTGTCGTTTGTAATGCTTGTGGGTGTCACAAAAGCCTTTGCTGTAACTTTTGCTCTGTAGACATGGAAATAAACAGTATTTCTCTATGACAACCTGTAAGTGGAAGATCTATGGGGAATTGTGCTGTGTTTGAGGCACAAAGTCAGCAAGAGGAATTCTGCCCCTGGCAAAAGCAGTGGGCAAAAAGTCCCCAGGCCACTGAGCTCACTTCTCCTGTGCCCCTCTGCTCTATCAGAAAGGGCCCATTTCGTATTCCTCTACATGCTTTTCTCTATTGCGGTAATAAGCTCCCAAAGGCCAATTTTGTTCCTGAAACAAACCTCATGTCACCACTTCAATCAGTTCTACCTCTTTCCAAACAGGAGGCTAAGGAGGAGGGAGGACAAGGGAAGGATTTGTGAGGGAGAAACAGAAACGAAAAAGCCAGACAAGAAGATCTTGACAGATACTGCTGGCCGCTCCAAATTGTTCCCAGCCAATTTTTCCCCTTCCTTTAGCAGAAATTTCACTTTTCCAGCTATGGATGGCCTTGTGTCACAGTTCTGGAAAACAGACATAAATTTTCTGATAAGGAAAGGGGTGGAGTTCTGGAAGGCTTTGCTGCCCCTGGTAAGAGGAGCTTACACAGCGTCACTCTTTCTTATCGCTCATTCTGGGCTTGACATAAACATGATGTCTGGAAGAGCAGCAGCTATTTTGTGGTCATGAGGAAAAGGGCAAAACAGATATAGAGATGTTTCCTGCTTCCAGTGTCCTTGTCCTGTGAGACAAATCTTCCTGTTAATGTGTTAAATCACCATCAGCTTTGTTGTTATTGATAACTGAGTTGGATTCCTAACTGACAGGCCTCTCCATCCCTGAGGTCTTCCAAATAAGAAGAGTTAAGGGAAGAGGAAAGGGAAAAGCAGAAGACAGAGGAAGAAAAGAGCATGTTCTCTTGCTCTTTAAGATGTAAGCTCACAAGGGGGTGAAGGGAGGGCAGAGGTAAGGGGAAAAAATGAGAATCAAGACTTGCCATGTAAAGGTACATGATCCCAACAATGAATGTAACTGTACTGTATCCCTAAATGTACCAATAAACTCAATAAAAAAAAAAAAAGATGTAAGCTCACAAACAGCAGAAGTGATGGACACGCGTTCTGTGTAGCCCCTAGACTGTACAGTTAAATAATGCTGTGACACAAGTGATTGTCATAAACTCTGTGCTACCTTCTAAAGATCTGACCTCCCAAATTAGTAGACAGAAGATGCTTTCTACTAAATCAAAGGGGCGATATACATCTTCATGGCTCCCCTATTATCTGAGTATGCCTACATTTTATAGATGAGAAACCGAAACACACAGAGCTTCAACGCCCCCACTAATGTGCTGGGGTTTGTACCTATGCAGCCTGAATCTAGTTTGGGCTGTTAAACACTCAGTGTACTGCCGCATATTACATAGCATAACAAACAGCTCCTCTTAAACATGTCAGCGTGTATAGATAACATACACCCAGGTCATATATGATATGTATGACATAAACCATGTATGTATGTAGATAGACAGATGAGTAAAATGCTAAATAGATCCTGAAAAATACATATTTTTTCTTGCATGTGTTTTCTATCTTCTGTACATTCCAGAGTTCGGAACCCATGAAAAGACCTTTTATGTCACCTAATGTTACCACCAGAAACCCTTAATAAGCTATTCCTCATACTTTGCTTTTTTTTTTTTTAAAGAAAGACAATTTGGCAATGAAAAAGAGAGAGAGAAAGAGAAGAAAGCATCAAGATAACAAATGAAGAAACCTATATCAGAATTTAAATTGCAAATAAATGAATTAAAATCCACCTGCTAGATATATTGTGGGATAGGTTGTGAATGGTCTGACCACATGCAAAACACTCGGGGTGGTAAAAGAAAAGCACGAATGAATGGAGAATGTGGTGCTTTCTTTGCACCGTTCCAGCTAGGCGTATCCAAAGTTTTCTGTCCTGGTCTGCATCGCAGGCTCCGTGTCAGTGTGTTTCCTCTCCCCGTGCCTGCATGTTCGTGGTTACTTCTCTAAAACACCAGGACGTTCATATTTTCTTTGGCCAATTAAGGCAACCAGGAATGCCCCCAACATCCAGAGGCATGGCTCTTGGAAGCAGATGTGAAAGAGTCGGTCCAAACAGAAGATCAGAGACACACAGGACACTCTGCTGGCAGGCACGGGGCCTGACTTTATCCAAACCCAGTTTCGGCCACTAAGATGCACTATTCTCAATTAAAAAAAAAAAAAAAAAAAA